ATGTTATTCTGACGCGCTCGAGTAAATTCCAAAATCCCCGCTTGGCCTCCCCTACTATTAGGAACCTATCCCATAATATGCGTTTTTACCGTATATGTACAGTGCGAGGCGTCTAAAAAAAGTGTACATCTAAATGATTCTTTAATAATCCTCTTTTTTACTTTACTCTTGTTTTTCTATTTTTAAATCTATTTTGCACTTTAGAGAGAATATTCTAGGTTTATAAACAATGTGACCTAAAGTCCTATTTTATATTTGTCGGTTAATATGAACAGTCTTCATTACATAATTAGGTGTGTCGTCGATTACTGATATAACGACCAAATTGTCAGTTATTCTCTTCATGACATTTATAATTGAAATGATGGAATTGTATTTTTGTCGAGCAGCAGAGATAAGCTCGTTTTATATTAAGATTAAAAAAAAAAATTTTTCATTATAAGAGGGGAATATAATGTCTTTACTAGTTGAATTGTGATAAGTTATCCACGTCTTGAGAATATTATTGGAAATTCATTGTAACACAGGTATTATTTTATTTATTGTTCTTTAAATTAAATTAGTATTGTCAATTAATAACATTCATGTTATTAGAATCAGGAAACTTTGTGTGCAATAATTAAAGACGAATCATGGATGATCTCATTGAGCATAATATTAGATAAATTCTTCTTGAGCATAAGACGAAACAAAATTTGGACTACTTACACTTTTTATTTAATTCTCCTGTAAAAATTATTTAATTTAAATGAGCGTTTTGGCGCGATCAATTTTATATGATATAATGTGTATTAAATTCAAAATTGCGTTGTTTTTCGAATATATACATATGCATAGGGAGAAGTATTGTAATACTGAAGATGGTCTGATTTAAAACCGAAACGTTTATTTAATTGAAGTCAATTGAAATATTAATGTAATTCGATCGAAATATAAAATAATAGCGTCTAACATCTTGCGTTGTGGCTTATGCCTTTCAAATTCTCTGAAAAAAAAATTTTTTTTCTCATGACGTGTTCCTTGGATTCTATTTTGTTACATATTTCACAGGACATACTTCCAAGGTTTAAGATTAATCGTGTCACATCTTCACTCTAACAAGTGATGGACTTACCTCTGTTGGCACATGAGAGAACATAATATACAGGGTGTTAGTTAAGTATGTTCCCGAACTCAACAGAGCGATTCTTTGGTTTATTTCAAGTAAAAAAGTCCATATAAACATGTGTCCTAGGCCGCGGTCCGATTCACGCTTATAGCGTGATTAGTGCGCTCACGGTTGCTTATGGTTGGTCCATTTCGTGCTTGCAGCGCCAGTGTGAACACAGTGACGTCATAGTTACATAGCACTTACGGTGCTCCCTAGGGTGCGTTCCGTTTCTCGCATGATGCCCATAATGCATCGTTTATCCTTGTTGCTCACCAAAAGTTAAACAAGGACAATGGATGCATCATGCACATCATGCGCGATACGGAACGCACCACTGGATGAAAGGTGAGGCACCGTGAGCGTCATGATTACGTGACGTCAGAAATGCGGGAAAAATAACGGTTTCGAACATTTCAGAAAGAAAGGGCAAGCTGA